AATCTCTTCCAATTGAGAAACCTATGATTAACAATAATGATCTCGCAGGTTGTCCATTGCACAATGGTCCTATATCCATTTCACTTGGCCAACCTACACTTAGGTCAGATGATTTACCATGGCTTATTGGAAATACAACTGCAAGAATTTCAAGATTCAAGTTCTGGACTAAGACGATGGAAAGATCAAGAACCCTAAAGTGGCTCCTCGTAAATACATTTCCAGACGAATGTCACAAGGTGAGAAATACTACTATTTTGAATACAAAAATTGATCAGTCCCAAGATTGTCCACAAATTCTCCCAATTGGACCTTTGAATACTCATGTAACAATCAAGAATGTTAGCTTGTGGGAGGAAGACTCAAGTTGCTTGGATTGGCTAGACAAACAAGTTGTTAATTCAGTTTTGTACATTTCTTTTGGGAGTTGGGTTAGTCCAATTGGAGAAGCAAAAGTAAATGACTTAGCATTTGCTCTTGAATTGTTAAAAAGACCATTTATTTGGGTGTTAGGTCCTACATGGAGAGAAGGTTTACCAAAGGGCTATTTGGAGAGAATTTCAAAACAAGGAAAAATTGTGTCATGGGCACCACAAATTGATGTTCTACAACATGAAACAGTAGGGTGTTATCTTACACATTGTGGTTGGAACTCTACAGTGGAAGCGATACAATCCAAGAAACGCCTTTTGTGTTATCCAATTGCGGGTGATCAATTTGTTAATTGTGCTTATATTGTTCAAAAGTGGCGAATCGGCGTTAGAATGGATGGTTTTGGGTTAAAAGATTTGGAAGAAGGATTGAAAAGGATCATGGAGGATGATGAAATGAGTGAAAGAATTGGTAGACTAAATGAGATGACAATGGGCAAGGTGGTTAGTTCAAGAGCAATGGCTAACTTGACAACATTCATTTGTGATATTAGAATATGATACTTTGTGCGGATAGCAGATATCCAATGGAATAATATATGTTCTAATTAATTGATATGTAGAGTTATTTGATACTTATATTGGTGAAAGATAACAGTTACCCAATGGAATAATATATACGGGTCATTTAAAGAAAAGAAAAAAAAAGAAGCATTAAGTTCCGTCAAATGTAACTTTATTACTTCAGATAAAAAAAACTTTATTACCTATTATTTAAATTTGCAGAGTACCGGTAAAATAGATAGTCCAGTTTACATTTTTATGTATTTCTTTTCCGGCTTTAGAATCTATCTATATATTTAATTGTGGGAAATAAAAGTGTGATGTGGCAACTCTGTTTGGCCAAGAAACTCACTTATCTTTTTCTCATTTTTTTGATTTGTTTCCCCCATTTTTGCATGTATCTTATTTTTAGTAGCCCAAAAACCTCTATAAGACTATATATAACCGTTTCCTTATTACATATCTTAATAGCTAATTATTGTCTCTTTCAAACTTTTCCCCTCCCCTTACAAATCCTCTATTAGTTATGTTCATAACTCCCAAATATTATTTAATGTGTAACTTTCTGATACCTTTTGTATTACCCATACATGTCTATATAAATTCATTAGCAACAACAATCAGGCATGCACTCACAAATTGGTTTATTATAGACTCAAAAGAATTAGCTTGTACTGTTGTGCATTTCAACGTGGGGGTTTGCTCGGATTCTTTGAAACATGCACTCACAATTAACGGTACCAAATCATTCCGCTAAAAAATCTTAAAAACTGATTTAACCAGCTTAAAAGCTAATCCAAACACCTTCTAAAAAATGTTCAAGTAGGCATGCTCCTTTATGATTCTTTCTTTGTATAAAGGGAATTAGGAAAAAAAATCATCTGCTTAGCGTGCAATTAGTTAAATGTACAGCTCTAACATGATGTCATATTAAAGTCAACTATACGAGGTTCATTTTTTAAATGAAAATGTAAGCTATAAGCACATGATCAAATGATCCTATCGGAGATTAACTTAATTTACAAAGCTTTCTTTCCAAAATATTTTTAAGTACTTTAATTTATTTAACTTGATAATTGGCATGAGTAAATGACAAGTCGTTATGATTCCATGTGCTCTATCACAGTCATGTTCAATTGTCAAGGTATTCTCAGCTTTGAGTCCGACAATATAGAGTCATCTCAAGACTCTTGCCCTTCACGGTTTGTCTCCTTGGGGTTTAACCCAAAAGGCGTCTTAACAATTAAATCATGAACTCACCGTTATATGGCCTACTAACTTTTAATTTTCGTTGTGATGTGGCGTTTGTCAAAGGCAAGATTCACATCGAATTCGCTTTTAGTACAACCACTAATATTCGTGGCTATTACACTAGCCCTCTCCTAAGGACCTAGTATTCTCGCTAAGGTTCGCCTCACTATCATATTAGGGCAAGTATAGGTTATACCACTTGTCACGACTAGGCCCAACTGTCAAAGTATTATTTGATTTGGCCCGCCCTTTTGAGCCACCTCAAGGCTCAAAGCCTTACAATTTTGCTCCTTCGACTTTTACCCAAAAGGCGCCTGTCCGCGCACAATAACAACCATTATTCCACTTGTTTTTATTACTTTTTGTTTATAAACAATAATTTTTTATGAGAAAACAAGGTAAGGAGTTAAAACATGTTCGAAAATCATTTTATTTCTCACTAACTTTATGCACAAACGCGTAATTACTTCCCTACAATGATACATTTATGATTGATAATTTGCAGGCTGTCCATTGCACAATGGGCCTATATGCCTTTCACATGCTCATCCTACATTTAGCTCAGAAGATTTGCCATGGCTTATTGGAAATTCAACTGCAAGAATTTCAAGATTCAAGTTTTGGACTAGGACAATGGAAAGAACAAGAACCCTTAAGTGGCTCCTTGTAAACACATCTCCAGGTGCATGTCACGAGGTGCGAAATACTACTATTTTGAACACCCACATTGATGATTCCCAAGATCATCCCCAAATTATCCCAATTGGGACTCATGTAACAATCAAGAATGCTAGCTTCTGGGAGAAAGATTCAAGTTGCTTGGATTGGCTAGATATGCAAACTGCTAATTCAATTATGTACATTTCTTTTGGGAGTTGGGTCAGTCCAATTGGAGAAGCAAAAGTGAATAGTTTGGCATTGGCACTTGAAGCCTTAGAAAAACCTTTTATTTGGGTGTTAGGCCCTTTGTGGAGACAAGGTTTAGAAAAGGGATATTTGGAAAAAATTTCAAAAAAGGGAAAATTGTACCATGGGCACCACAAATTGATGTTCTACAACATGAAGCTGTGGGATATTTTCTTACCCATTGTGGTTGGAACTCTACAATAGAAGCGACACAATCCAAGAAACGCCTTTTGTGCTATCCAATTGCAGGTGATCAATTTGTTAATTGTGCTTATATTGTTAAAAAATGGAAAATCGGGGACAGGATTGATGGTTTTGGAGTGAAAGATTTAAGAGAAGGATTGGAAAAGGTCATGGAGGATGACGAAATGAGTGAAAGAATTGCTAAATTAAATGATATGGCAATGGGCAAGGTGGCTAGATCTAAAGCAATGGCTAACTTGACAACATTCATTTCTGATGTTACGATATGAACATATATGCTTCATGGTTGATACACATGCGAAGTCATGATTTGAATTTTATGGGTTCAGGATTTTAGCCCGTTTATGTTATTGGGTTCTAAATTAATAATTTATACATATTCAGTAGATATCTTAAGGCAAATATAGGGTTTGGACAAAAGTTACTTGGTTCAACCGAACCCGCACGATCTATGCTAGCTCCGTCCCTGGGTGGATATACATGTGCTTGAGTACTTGAATTTTAATTTGGTAGAGTTCCAACCACATGAAAACGCGTATATAATGAAACTATTATGGATCGTTTTCAAAGTATAAAAACTCGTTAAGTATAATTGTAAATTAAATAATATTTTTTGTGATAATGATATTAATTATTATTTGCTCGCTAAGTTATTGTTGCCGTATAATTTTGTATTATCATACTGACGTTTATCATTAAGGTAGTGATGAATTCATCTTCTTGAAATCCTGAATCCGATATTGCTCCGACATCATTCATACTTGTCGAAACTTGATCAAAATATTCAGCTTGTTGGCTTAGTTTTTGAATAACCTTGTAAAGAACAAATGTACGTGTTGATTTCATGAGACTTTGAATAGATTGGAGATGAGATCAAATTGATACAGTATAATGAGGGGGAAGAAAAGAAAAGGCAAAAGTTTACAATGAAATTCTCCAAGTCAAGATAACACATTAAAGCAACTGTCTAGAATGAACCCAATACCAAATTTATACAAAAAGTTGAATTACCTTTTGCAAAAGTTTTCCTTGTGTGTGTAAATGATATGTTACGAATTGAAAATAAGACAAAATAAATTTTAATTTGTAGATAGAAAGTAATAAAATGTTAAAACCATTACAAATCAATATTTAGACTCACTTGCAAGTTTAGTTATGATAATAGTGTTGGGAATAAACCCCCTACAGAAATAATATTTACGGTAATAAAAGCGGAATAATCACGTAGCATCGAGATACGGTAATTAGCAAGAAAAGAAGTGACAATGACACCAAGATTTTTACGTGGAAAACTCTTTGAATAAGGGAAAAAAATACGGCCCCGAGACGAGCAATTGATATCACTATAGCAAAGAATTTTACACTTTGTATGTCCGAGTAAAATACTCCAAAGACCACTACAACACTCAAAAGAATTAACCCTCTTTTGATATTTTCGCCTCACTATAATATCGCTCACCCTCTATTTTTCTCACAGACTATTTTCTTATACCTTGTCTGTGAAACTTTACTCTTTCTTTCTCTCTTTGTTGGTGTGTATTACAATGAGAGCAAGACATCTATTTGTAGTATTTGGCATTGCTTCATTGATGTCACCAATGATCTCATGAGTTTGGCAAGAGTCAAATATTCAATTTGAAAACAAAGAAATATTTATCATAAAATCTTCCTTACTATTCCTTTAGTTGGCTTGGCAATTCAAAGCCAAAAGGAAGATGTCTTCCTTACACATGGGATGGACCCATCAAATCTCCCCCTCCAGTCTCATGCACCTGAAGGAGGTAACTCCAGTTTTTCATATAGAGTTCATACCGACAAGTTCCTTGCACAATTCGAACTTGTCTCTTGGTACCATCTTGGTTAGCATATCTGCGGGATTCTCACTTGTAGAAATCTTCAAGACTTTTAAAGATTCATTCTCTACTATTTTTCGAATCCAGTGATATCTCACATTGATGCGTTTGGTCCTTGCATGGTACATGGAGTTCTTGCTAAGGTTTATTGCACTTTGACAGTCACAATAGATGACATACTCCTTTTGATGCAAGCCAAGCTCTTGAAGGAACCGTTTCAACCATATCATCTCCTTGCCAGCTTCAGTAGCGGCAATATACTCCGCTTCAGTTGTAGAGAGTGCGATACACTTCTACAACTTCGACTGCCATGATATAACTCCCCCTGAAAATATGAACAAATATCCAGTAGTGAATTTTCTGTTATCAATGTCACATGCCATATCAGCATTTGTATAGCCCTTCAAGATTGGATCAGATCTTCCAAAGCTCAAACAATCTCCCATGGTACCTCTCAGGTACCTGAGTATCCACTTGACTGCCTCCCAGTGTTCTTTTCTAGGATTTTCAAGAAACCTGCGGACAACACCAACTGCGTGAGCAATATCATGTCTAGTGCATACCGTTGCATACATCAAGCTTCCGACCGCAGAAAAATAAGGAACTCTAGCCATGTTCCCTTTATCCTCAAATGTTGTAGGACACATCTTCTTGCTAAACTTTAGATGACTAGCAAGAGGTGTACTGACTGGCTTAGCATTCTTCATGTTGAAGCGTTCCAGTATACGTTCAATGTACTTCTCCTGAGACAACCATAACTTTCTGCTTGTTCGCTCTCGAACTATCCTCATGCCTAAAATTTGTTGTGTTGGGCCCAAATCCTTCATATCAAATGACTTGGACAGATCTCCCTTCAACTTTGCGATCAACCCCTTGTCTTTTCCTACAATTAACATGTCACCCACATACAACAACAATATAATAAAGATATTTTTAGAAAATCTTTTGAAGTATACACATGGATCATAATATGTCTTTGTGTAAGTTTGACTTTTCATGAATGAGTCAAACTTCTTGTACCACTGCCTTGGTGCCTGCTTCAACCCATGAAGATTCTTAATCAGTTTGCACACCATGTGTTTCCTTTCAGCTACTTCAAATCCTTCTGGCTGCTCCACATAGATCTCCTCTTCCAAATCTCCATGAAGAAATGCAGTTTTCACATCCAACTGCTCCACTTCAAGATCTAGGCTAGCTGCTACGCTCAAAATTGTTCGAATAGAAGTCATTTTGACAATATGTGAGAAACTTTCATCAAAATCAATACCTTTCTTCTGTTCGAAGCCTTTTACCACCAATCGAGCTTTGTATCTGACAAGCTTGTCATTTCCATCTTTCTTGAGTTTAAAGACCCATTTGCATTTGAGTGGTCTTTTTCCCTTTGGAAGTTCAACCAGCTTGTACGTGCCATTTTTCTGTAGAGATTCTATCTCCTCTTGCATGACTTTTATCCACTGGTTCTTTTCTGGATGGGACATCATCTCCTTAAGACTTTCTAGCTCCCCCTCATCACTGATGAGGACATACTCCGTGGAAGGGTACCTGCATGACTCTACCCTTGGCCTTTCTAATCTCCTCAGAGGTTGAGGTTGTTCTTCTCCCAGAGTAGGGTGATCCACTTGATCGACATCATCATCAAGTTGCTCCCCCTAGTCAATAACCTCACCAGGTTGCTCCCCCTGCTCGGCAACCTCGTCGGTCGTACTTTCTGTATTTGTGGGATTGTTAGAAGTAGAAGGAATAATAACAAGGTTAGGAATAATATCATTATTGGCCTTCTCTGACATATCATCAGCAGTTCCAACTTCATTTTCTCGAAAGACTACATCTCTGCTTATGATGACCTTCTTCTTTACGGGATCCCATAATCTGTATTCGAATTCTTCATCTCCATATCCGATGAATATGCAAGGAACATATTTATCATCCAGCTTTGTTCTATGCTCCTTTGGTATATGTGCAAAAGCTTTGCAACCGAACACCTTCACATGCGAGTAGGACACCTCCTTGTTGGTCCAAACTCTCTCTGGGATGTCAAACGCCAACAGAACTGATGGACTCCTATTGATTAGGTAACATGCTGTCTGAACTACTTCACCCCATAATGACTAAGGCAGTTTAGCCATTCTGAGCATGCTTCTCACTTTCTCCACAATGGTGCGGTTCATCCTTTCGGCTACGCCATTATGTTGTGGGGTTCCAGGAACTGTATTTTCATGTCTGATCCCATGGTTCGAACAATACTCTTCAAATTCCCTTGAATTGTACTCACTTCCATTGTCACTTCGGAGACACTTTAGCTTTTGGCTTGTCTCCCTTTCCACCATAGCATGAAACTTTTGGAAAACTTGAAACACCTGATCTTTGGTTTTCAAAATATAAACCCATAATTTTCGTGAAGCATCATCGATAAAAGTAACAAAATATTTATTACAGCCCATTGATTCAATTTCATTGGACCACAAATATCAGAATATACCAAATCAAGTATATTCAATTTTCTTTCATACTATGTCTGAAATGAGACTCTATGCTGCTTACCAAATAAACAGTAGTCATATGGTTTTACCGTTGTACCTTTGGCATAAGAAATGAGTGATTTCTTGGCAAGAATCTGCAATCCCTTCTCGCTCATATGACCCATCCTTTTGTGCCACAAATCTGTAGAAATCTCATCTTGTACCGCGTTCAATTCACCTTGGCATATTTCTGCATTTGTCTTGTACAACGTGCCACAAGCAACTCCCTTTGCAATCACCAATGATCCCTTGGTGAGTCTCCACTTTTGATTTGCAAAATAGTTCTCGTATCCATCTCGGTCTAAAGCAATTCCAGAGATCAAGTTCATCCGCAAATCAGGTACATGTCGCACGTCCTTCATAACCAATGTGCATCCGACATTTGTCTTGATACAAATGTCACTAATCCCCGCAATCTTTGAGTAACTTGTGTTACTCATTCTCACAAGGCCGAAATCACCTGCTACATATCTGCAAAAAAGATATCTTACCGGTGTGGCATGGTAAGATGCTACTGTATCAACCATCCATTCCGACTCTGGACTTGATAAGTACATGCATTCCTCTTCCTCGTTTATACAGAGGACAACATTATCATTGTTTTGCACCATGGCGGCTGCGTTGTCGTTATTCTTCTGGCCATTAGTTTCACCTTTGCCCTTCCTTGGATTTGGACAATCTCTTTTGAAGTGACATGGTTGATCACAATTATAGCAATTTCTAGCTCTTGATTTGGATCGGTTCTTAGACTTCCCACGAGCTCCGGATCTACCATAGTTGCTCGAACTCCTTTGATAATTCATGCCTCTACCTTCTGTGATGAGAGCATGTCCTTGATTTTCAGGCTTCTTTCTCATCTTCTCATTGAGTAAAAGAGCTGATGTGATATCTTTCATC